AACATAATTAAATTTTTTTGTTTAGGCAAATCTTTACTAATTTTAGCAATTTTATTTTATTTTTTATATTTATTAGTTTTTAAATAAAATCTAAATTATATTTTTTTTATAATTAACAACATATTTGCAATATATACAATAAATTTTTCCTTCATTTTGATAAAAATCATTTTTATATTTTAAATATTTATCTAAAATTGAATAACCTTGTAACATTTTAAAAAAAGCTATTTATTAATAAATTTAAAATTCATTTATTTATCATTATCTCCTATCTCAATATCACAAATTATTACTAGAATTGATCTTTGGACTATCCAATGGATTAAATATCATATCCCTCTCTCATATATTATTACTAACACCCAAATTTAGGTGAGCCTTGGCCACTCTTATAGGTTTAGGTCGCAGATTATATGTCTGAGTCTTTATTCTTCATATGTAATTTAAAAGCAAGCTTTTCTTTGTAAAAACTTCAATTGAATTTCAATAAAGTTAAAGGTATGGCCTCATCGTTAATATTTAAAAAAAAAAAATTTATTTATTTATAAATTTAAAAATTACTAATTGTTTGTAAACAAAAAAAATTTTAAAATTGTTGTATGAATTACAGAAATTATATCTTAATATAAAAATAATATTACTAATGATTTGTAGTAATTTGCTAAAAATATTACTATTTTAGATATTAAAAATATCTGAACACTTTGATATTAGATAACTTCATATTTATTGCTTACTAAGTAGATAAAAGCTTTATAAGACTTACTTGAATCGGATTTATTTAAATATTCATTTTGTTATTATAAATTGAATAGATTAAATATTTTTTTAAAAAATATTGATTATTAAAAAATTTTATCTAAAGTTAAATATAATAAATAAATATAATAAGGATATGGTAATCTAGTAATATAGTCAGGCTGTCAACTCTCTAAGTAGTAGATTAAATATTTAAATCCTATCAATAATGAAAATTTGAATAATCACTTATATAATATTTATATTATGGCAACTGTTACTAATAATTAGATTAGAATATCTGTAATAATAATCATATCCGCATGATGGTAGGTTATGCAATATCTGTATAACTTGTTATACAGAGAAATACAAACTGGCAAATCAGGCAGTACAAACACTATATAAGTTCTTGTGTTTATATAAATCTGTTAAAATTAGATAACAAGAAGTCCATTTAAGAAGACTTGACTAAAGAGATAGTCAGATCTTTGATGGTCCTATTGTAAAGACTAGTCCAAGAAAGGTCATAGTACTTAGTTATAGTAACTAAATAGACAAAAACTTTTAGATTGGAAGTCTTAAAAATATCACTAACCAGGCTACTATAATAAACTAAAGAAAATGAATATTGGGTTAATTTGATATACTGATAGACTAGTTATAGTTCTACATGGGTTATCTAAATTAGAAGTTTAGTAAAAAGGCAGATGAAAAAATAGAAATATACTAAAATACTGTGATTATGTTATGAAATAGATGCTAGAATTTGTGTAAACTCTATAAGAGTACAGTAATTAAATGATATAACTCTGACAGTAAGTGTTAGTTTGTTATAGTAATATCTAGATCAGTTGTAAAAATAAGTACAGAAGCTCTGAAAGATTTATCTTAAGGATAAACTAGTCCTAAGATTGAGACAATAATTTGGGCATCTGAATATAAGTTAGTGAATTAATACAGATTAAAAGTTCAAAGAATTTAAAGTAAAATAACCAAACAAAGATATTAGATATAACAATTGATAGAAACCTTCAGGTAGACTCCTTAAATAGATAATATAGAAAAATTGTATGTATAGTCAATTGTACTCTCTTTTGTAATAGTTTATAGAATCATATTATCAAAAAAGTTATTAATAAAAATAAAAAGACCAAAAAGGTTACCTTAATACTAAAATAAATAAATAAATAAATATAATAAGAAATATGATAACTTAGTAAAGTAGTCAGATTGTCAATCTCTCAAGTAGTAGTTGAGTGTTCAAATTCTATTGACAATAAAAATTTAGATAATTAATTATATAATATTTATATTATAATAACTGTTCCTAATGATTAAATTAAAATATTTATAATAGTGATTATATTAGCATAACTAGCAGATTATAAGTCATCTGTATAATTTGTTATATAGAGAAATGCAAACTAACAATTGGACAATACAAATATTAGATAAGTTTTTGTAGCCATATAAATTCATTGAAATTGAATAATAAGAAGTCTATTTAGAAAGACTTGAATAGAAAAATAGCTGAATCTTTAATAATCTTATTGTAAAAGATAACCTTATGAAACAGATACCAAGGTCAAAGTAACCAAATGAGCAAAAATCTCTAAATAAAGGATATCAACAATTAGACTACTAGAACAGACTGAAGAAAAAAATATTGAACTAACCTAATATACCAATAGACTAGATATAGTTCTATAAGACTATCTGAATTGAAAGTCTGATGAACTGACAGAAATATACTAAAATATTTCAGACATGTTGTGAAATAGATGTTAGATTTTGTGTAAACTCTACAAGGCATAGTGATTTAATGGTTAATCTAACTACAAGTATGGTTCTGTCATAATGATATCTAAGTCAACTGTAAAAATAGACATAGAAGGTTCTGAAAAGTTTAACTCAAGAATAAATTAGACCTAAGGTTAAGATAATGATCTGAGTATCTGAGTATGATCCAATGAGGTTAATGCAAGTTGCAGGTTTAAAGGATTTAAAGTGAAACACCATAGCAGGAATGTTAGGTATGACAATTTGTAAGAAACCTTTGGGTGAACTCCTTAAATAGGTAATATAGAAAAATTCATGTGTAACCAATTGTATGTTCTCCTGTAGTGGTTCATTGAATCATATTACTAAAATATCATTAATAAAAATCAAAAAACCAAAGAAATCATCTTAATGTTAAAAAAAATAAATAAATAAAAAATATAATATGCATCTGTATGCACCATAAAAATATACATATATGCTAATAAACATTTAACAGGAAGGGTGGTTTAGACTGTGAAATACAGTATAGCAATAAACAACTGATACGATCGATTATAATGATCACTTGAGATTATGTAATTAATTAAAGATAGGGTACTTAATTATATATACCAGTAATCAATGAATTAGATCAAATCAGGTTACCAATAATTAACTTTATATTGATTAATGTAATATATGCCTAAGTGATAAACTTAATAATATCAAAAGGGAGTAAAAATCAGACAATAAGTGATGACAGAAAATGTAGTATGATCATTAAGAATTTTAACGAATAGGAATAACGAAACAATCAATAAATATAAAATCGTATAACAATTGAAAATCCGATCCTTATTATAGTGTTGGAAATCTGATGTTCTCATGTTCTCAAGAGAACATATTTTTGGATTTGTGAACATTTGTTACTTTAAACATGTCCTCTATAAAAAAATTTTTAAGAACATATTGCTTTATAAATATGTTCTCTATATAGTACTGGATGAAGTTAACAATTAGAAAATGAGTAAATTTCGGAAAGAAAATGAACAAACAAAATTATTTTTGAGAACACTAAATTTAATAATTGTGCTCTCATGAGAACATAAAGTTCAAAACAGATTTCCAACACTGCTTATTATAATTTCGTTTATAACAAAACATCGAGTCTGAAAAACTTTTAATGAAAGAGCAAAAAGGCAGCTCTTTTACACTTTCAAATACATGAAAATAAGGCCTTACATGTTTTGATCCATGCCTAATCCTTGACATGCACCTTCCGTTAGGCTTAAAGACTATTCTAAGTTTTTCTCTGACCATCTCCGCCTTAAGTTTTCCAGGTACATTCCCTTCACATCCTCTTTCCTGCTAACCTTTAACTAAACAAAGGTTCATGTCTAATCCCCACGCCTTAAAACAATAATAAATAAAATAAATATATAGATACTAAAATAAACAAAAATGACGAATCATACAAATATACACTATCCAGTTAAGATTTTAAAATCGTGACAATAGGGGGTTTCAAAGTTAAAATGTGGAAATCTAATTTTAATTGAAATTGGTTACAGATTTATTTTCAAATGAGCGATGTATCAGCCTTACCGTATTTCGCGGTCTAAAGTACCCCCCCCCCCCAGTATGAATTTTTGTCGGCTCATGCAGATATTTCCATGATGCATATCGGGTTTTATTTCGTGTAACCATTACAAATTTAAAGTAAAAAAAATTGTGAATGGTACATTATGCACCCGATATGTACCATGGAAATATCCGCATGAGCCGATAAAAATTCATACAGGGGGTACTTTAGACCGCGAAATACGGTATTTAATTTTCTGACAAGTTTGAAATGTTATTTATTTCATAAATGAGGATCTCCGGACACTCCCATTTCATTTGCCGATTTTAAATTTGAAATGCAAATAAGATTTTTCCAACTCTCATTTAATTTCAAAATGCACCGCTCATTTGTTAACTTTGAAACCTTCTAATACCCTAATTTTGCTATTCGTACTTTCTTCTATGTAAATGCTTAATTTTATTGTACTATAATAAGTTAATTTCATGCTTTGAGTTGTAATACTAGGCTAATGCGTAGGCTTATGTGTCCGGAGCACATGATGATTATCATACGTATAACAAATGTAAACACGCGTGTGGACGAACAAAAAATGTCCAAATTACAGATGCATCAATAACGTAATTTTTATATCACTTTGCGTACACACTAACTCGCTCCGGACAATTGTCGTTATGCAGACTATTATATATATGTATCATGATTATACTAAGAAATATTTGGTTAGAAGATTTTTTATAGGAGGGCATGAATAGCAAAAAAATAGGGGGTATATAAAATAGAAATTTCCTATTTGGGCTAATAATAAAATGGGATAATTGCAAGTAGATATAAAACTCTAATTGGATTAATTAATGTAGATCTACATATTTTCCCACTTTCAATTTTTTTTGAATCAAATTTTCTGTTCAAAATGTTCGTAAATACGTTATATCAGTTAATTTATGTCATTAAAAGCAATTTTTTTACGACCTTACTTTTGATTATTTTCACCAATATAATCCAATACTACATTAATTATTTCATTCGACCATCAAAAATTCCTGGTCCACTTCCTTTACCAATTATTGGAAATATTCATCAAATTGGAGCAGATTTCACAGCCGCATTAAAAAAATTTCATGAAAAATATGGTGATTTATACGAATTTTATGTGGGAAGTACACGCATGATTGTTATTAGTAAA